ATAGAGCAGTTTCCCACTTCATTTTCATAGTGCAAGTTCATTTTCCTTTAATTGGTTTTGAAAAAGAAATTTCAGGAACAGCAAAATTAGTACTTCTTCACAAATAAATGTGGGGTTATTTCTGCAAAGCCTAAGATATAAAGAGAGTTCCCTGAGTAGGGACAATGTCTCCAAAAATGAAAATATTTGCATGTAGTTAATAAGCATAATAGAAAAGTCATACTTCTGAGAAGGCTATACCTTCTAGTCAGCTACCACACAGAGGCAAACAGAGAGAAAAAGAAGGTTACTTAAACTTAACGGATATAGTTTTATATATATATATATATATATATATATACACACACACACACACACACACACACACACACACACACACACATATGTCATATATATGTGTATATATAGATATATATGATATATATATCAGATATATAACTGATATAACTTAAACTTAAAGACTTAACTGATACAGCGATATAGAGCAATTCAGCTAACTCCGATGTCTTTTTTTGGCTGAAGATTTAATTACTCAACCTTCAAATCAGTGTTCACTTTTCTTTCCTAGTTGGCCTGAGGGATGACATTTTCCTATAGTAGCCAATAGCGAGACTTGTTCCCAACAGTTACATCTATCCTTGTACTTCAGCACTCCCTGACTCCAGCCCCTCTCTCCACTGAGCAATCTCTCCACTTCTGAGAAGACACCTTAAGTTCAACGTGTCCCAAACTGAATTCTTTCTCTTCCTCCCCTTCCTTCCTCTAGACTCTAGAAAGAGAATGCATTTATTACTCCCTCTGTGCCAGGTGCTGTGCTAAGCTCTGGGAATACTAGAGTAAGAAAACAAGTGGTTCCTACTCCCAATGAACTCAAATTAAAAAAAAAAAAAGGAAGACAAGATATAAAGGAGACCTGGAAAGAGTAGGGTGGGGGAGAAGATGGAAGCTCTGTGGAGGGACAGCACATGGAAGGGGTGAGGTATTGAGGTCAAAGTAGAGAGTGAATATCTCAGTTGGGCTTTTCCATGATATGGCAGGTCCTGGCAGACACTGGCTAATCATTCAGTTGGCCTCAGGGTTGAGTTCACCTGTGTAGAGGTGGAGCCTTCTAGTGTGGTGGTCACTCTTTGTATTTTTTGTTTCTTTTTGCTGGACCTCCAACACAGATCTCAGTTTTCTTTTCAGATACTGATAATCCTATGACTTTTTAATCCCATTTCTATAACAATTAGACTGCTCAGCAACTGAATAAATAAACAATGAGAATATGCACATGGATTACTGAGGAGTATAAATACAATTCTTTGATATTCTTTTGGAATTATTTCAGAGAGAAAGTCAATTTTTTTAGAGTGACTTTCAAGTTAGCTAATATTTATTTGAGTTGTGTTTTTTTCTTGTCTCCTTTGACTAATGATGAGGTAAATCTCTGCCCTGATATGTTTTCACATAACTACTAAGAACCTGTGAGAGATGAGACATAAGCAAACCAGGCCACAGTGAAACAATTACTGCTATACCAACACTTAACTATACCAACTTACTTACCAGGATAGAGCCCTGGCCCTGAAGTTAGGAAGACTTGAGTTCAAATACGGACTCATACATTTACTTGCTATGTGACCCTGGGGAAGTCACTTAATTTATGTCTTCCTCAGTTTCCTCATCTATAAAATGGGAATAATAATAGTAATAACACCTATCTCCCAGGGTTGTTGTGAGGATCGAGTGAGATAGTGTTTGTAAAGCATTTAGCTCATTGCCTGGCATGTAGTAGATGCTTAATTAAATACTTCTTCCCTTCCCTCCATCCTCTATAGTCATTGGAATGCAGTGATCATCATTAAGTCTTGCAGTATTCAATATTGTACATTCACATAAATTTGGAAAGTGGTTTTCTTATACATGAAGACTAACCCAATTCATCTTTGCCCTCCACTGAAGTAGCGTTCTGTAACCATTGCAGTTTTTCATATGACCAGATAATGATACTAAAAAATCTTGACAGGAGAACATTGAGCTAAAACTAATAACCTAAAAATTAATAGTTAGTGAAGGTAAATTCTTATACTTGGGTTAAAAGAAATCAGCTTCATAAGCATAAGAGGAGTCTTGGTCAAATATGTTTAGCTGAAAAAGATCTAGGGGTCTTAGTGGATGATAATATCAGCCAAAATAAGCTAATGTTATTTGGCCTACATGAGGAAAGGTACTGTGTCCAGATACCATTGTCCTTTGACCTTGTCAAAACACATTTGGAGTATTATGTTTAGTTCTGGGTGCTTCTGGTCTTGGAAAAGACATCCATAAGCTGGAGAGCACCCAGAGATGGTGACCAAGGAGACAAGTGATGAGTAGTGATAGAGTGCTGAATTTAAAGTCACGAAGTCCTGTTGTCAGTTCCCACCTCAGACATTTACTAGCTATGTGACTATGAGCAAATAACTTAAACTTTCTGCGCCTCAGTTGTCTTATCCTTAATATGAGAGGTTAGACTTATGGGTGTCTAAGTTCTTCTATGATCCCGTGACCAAGTTAGGGAAGGACTTTGAGTTCATATTTGAAGGAACTGAAGCTATTCAGCATTCATGTGACTTAGGTGGGGACTGAGAGTTGTCACCAAGAACTGGAAGGTCTGTTGTAATGGAAGAGGTATAGATTTGTTTGTTCCTGAAGGGCAGAATTGAGATCTCTAGAGTAATATTGCCTGGAGATGGATTTAGGCTTGATATGAGGAAAACCAACCTTCTTAACTCTCAGAGCTATCCACAAAAATGGAATGGATGGCCTCAGGAAGTGGGGAATTACCTTTTAGTAGATACCTTCCAGCAGAGATTGAGTGATTACTTGCTAGGTATGTTGCAAAAGGGTAGTCTTATTTAGGTATGGGTTGAATTAGGTGACTCCTGAGATGCCTTCTAACTCAACTTCTGGAATTCTGTAGGCTTATAGGCTCTATTGGAGGAGACAAGAAGAAAGTAATTACCATCAAAAATAGTCTTGTCGGTCAGCAAGCATTTATTAAGTGCTTACTGTGTGCCAGATGCTGTACTACCAATTAGAGTGTTGAGGATGAATAGTAGTTGTGGGATTGTGGTAATTATGCCACTTGTGTTTGGCTTTATTTGGAAGGTACATGGTAACTTTAAAGATCTTTTCCTATGGGGTTTTTAGTGATGAAAAGGGACTAAAAAGGTATTTTTGTGTAAAGTGAGAGATTTATACTATCAAAAGAAATAAGCTTTTGCCATGATTATAGATGAATGCTTTGATACATAATAGGATAAGGAAAACAATTTTTTAGTGGAAAAAAAAGTGCTAATATATGTATATACATTCCATTTTCAGATAGAATGAATCCATATGTATGTAGCTTTTCAGACAGGTTTGAACAGATTGAGTCAGAAAATAATAATAGTAATAATAGCTAATATTTATATATTGCTTACTATGTGCCAGGCACTGTGCTAAGCACTTTACAATTATTACCACATTTAATCCTCAAAACAACCCTGAGAGGTAGGTGTTATTATTATCTTCACTTAACAGGCAAGGAAACTGAGAGAAACAGGTTAAGTGACCAGTGTCACACTTGTAGTGTCTGGCCGGATTTGAACACAAGTCTTCCAGACTCCAGGCCGGCATTTTATTATACTTTGGCACTTTTTTTGGTATACTTTGGTGTATAGTATAAAGACTCAAATTCTTTTGCAAATGAACTTTGTGAATATGAATGAACAGATGAATGATAATTCACTTGTGTGGGAACAGTTTAGTGTTATAAAGAGGCAGCAAATTATCTTTTACTTATTGGAAACTGGAGAAATGTGTGTAAAGAAACAGTCACAAAGACACTAATAAAATATTGCTCTAAATTGAATCCTTCAGAGCTGCAAGCAATATGGGTACCTCAGCTCATTTGCATATAACTGTTTATGACCGAAGAGGGTAAAATTAGTAAAAAGAGAAATAAGATAAACATTTGGAGTCTGAGGTATGATTTAAAGAGGACTTTCAATTTGATAGGGATGGAAAAGTGGGGGGCTGGGGCAGGAGTTGGGACAGGTACCTGAAACCAGGAGGCTCTCATTTAAGCAAATAAAGTGCAGAGAAACTGGATAAAGGAACCTTTTTAGGAGCTCTTCATGCCGGTCAAGCTGATTTGCTGGCTGCTTCCCCTGGGGTCATTCCATCTCTGACCTCTGTGCCTTTTGTTCAAGTGGTCCCACATGGCTAGAGTGCAATCACTCTTCATCTCTGCTTTGCAGAATCCTTAGCTTCTTTCAAAGCATGTAGTCAGCATGTAACAAATAAGTGCCTACTGTGTGCCAGGCACTGTGCTAGGCCCTGGACATCCAATGACAACAGAATAATCCCTACCCTCAAGGAGCTTACATTTCATGGGAATCTAGTCTGTAACTCAAGTGCCCTATTTAATGGAGGCCTTTCCATTTCCATTCTCTCCAGTCCCTCCAATTGTTAGCTGCAGTTCCTACTGATTTTTTTTTTTGTTTGTATATATTTTAATTTGTGCTGCATTTCCTGAGTAGAACAGTAGACCCATGAGGGCTGGGACTATTTCATTTTTATCTTTGTATCCCTGGTAACTTGTACGTAATATGGGCTTAATAAAAGTTTTGTGAATGGAAATGAATTGAATGTATTCGATAAGTTCTTTTTTCTTAGGAAGCATTATAAAAAGAACACTTGATTCTTGTAGTTGGTAGAGAGTTGGGTTCAAAACCTACCTCTGACACTTATTGTTTGCCTTGGATCAGTCACTTCTGAGTCTCAGTTCCTTAATAATACTATGGGATGAATAGTACCTATAATACCTCAAGTGATATAATGTACCCAAAGTTCTTTTCAAGATTTAAATTACTGTATTAATGTCTTCCTTTATGGCAATTAAAGGAATTATGGCAAATTATGATATTGGCTTAAATGTTTTTGGCTTGGAATTTAATATTTTGACCATTTGACATTTCCTTTCTTCTTAGGATGAACTTGACCTCACAGACAAACACAGAGAAGCCATGTTTGCACTTCCAGCAGAGAAGAAATGGCAAATATATTGCAGCAAGAAAAAGGTCAGAGATGGATGTATTTCTTTTTAAAATATGACTTAGCTAATATACAAATGTTTTGCATGATTGCAAAACCTGTATCAAATTGCTTAAGATCTCAAGGAGGTGTTGGTGGAGGAGAGGGAGGAAAAGAATTTGGAACTCAAAAAAATTTTTTTTAAGTTAAAAATTGTTTTTACATGTAATTGGGAAAAATAAAATATTTTTAAAAATAAATAAAATGAGTTAAAATGCTTAAATATCTCTTATTTAGCACTTCACCAGGAGGCAGTTCTTCATATTAAAAGTCTGACAAAAGTATCTGACAATATCACCTACTTTTATTTTAGTTATATGAATATACCATTGTAACAGTGTTCTTCTCTCTTTCCAGTTACCTTTTAATTATCTCACACTTATGGTTGAATCTTCTCCTTAACTTGAAGTATGAAATTGGGGAAAATGAGCTTGCTACTCTGGACCTCAATTTCCTAATCTATAAAATGAGTGGGTTGAAGTAAAACAGGGTTTCTAAAATTTTGTGTGTGCGCAGTGGTCCCATCGGCTGCCTGGTGAAGCCAAAGGAACCCTTCCCAAAATACTGTTATTTTAATTCATAATTGAAGCAAGTGCTAATGTTCAATTAGAGGTTAATAAAAATGATGACATAAAAATTTTTCTGCATCTGAATTCACAGATCCCTTGAAATTTTTCCATGGAGACCCCAGGTCAAGAAATCCTGAATGAGATGATCTCTATGGTCCTTTCCAACTTCTCCCTTTCTATATTAAAAAAAAAAATCTGTCCAGCACCATAGATTTGCCTACCTTTTGCAAATGTACACACTACCATTTTTTAGAATCCTTCTTTTTTCCTTCTCTGTCCCTTCCTCTTTCTCCCTCCTTCCTAACTGATGTTTTTTCCCCAGCCCCACCCACGATTTCCCTGTTCCTGGTATTAATCCTGTTCCTGGCTACCAACTCCCTTCAGCTGCCACTCCCACCTCCTGCTTTATCAAAGACCTAATCTAGAAGAATGAGCCTGCAAAAAACCAAATCAAGAAAACTGTGACCAAAAAATAGCAAGACAGAGCTTTAGAAACCCTGCTGGGGTGTCACATCACCAGTTGTTGGATTTTCACTATATAAAGTGAAGTCATTATCTCCCACGTGGTTATGTGTCCTTATACCTTTGCAGAGTATTTTTTAATATAAAAATGAAAATATAAGAAAGTGAAAGTACAATTTTTTTAAATTGAATGGAAATAATTTGTTAAAAAGCTGTGTATTTCAGGACTTTCAGCAATAGTAAATGGAACTAAAAGTGTATTGTTCACTCCTTCTGTCTCTCAGTCTGCTCCTTGATATTGTTGGACCAAGTTGGGATCTTTGAATTGACTTAACCAATTTATGATCAAGAAAATTTCAATCAGGTCATTTCTTTCCTTTATATTGATTAACTCTGTGGCAGTTCTCCTTCTTATTCATACACATCTAACCGCTCAGCAATTCTATTTCAATGAGCTGATTGCTCTAACTGATGAATTTGATGTTCTGATTGTTCTGCCTCCTAGCAAAGTGCTAAATGAGAGAGATTTAAGCATTCTAACTCATTTATTTATTTTGAATATTTTATTTTTTCCCCAATTACATGTAAAAACAATTTCATGTTCTGTAACTGATGCATTTGATGTTCAAAAGCAAATTTCAAGAATGAATAATGATGAACATGATAATTTTCAATAAATATTCAATGATGTTTTTCAAGGAAATCAGGCTTTGTTGACTTTGGAAGCAATACAGTTGTTACATGCTATTCTTTAAAGATATAGCAACTATATTTGAGCAGAACCTCATTATTAAAATCTTGTGTCTTATATGCTTAATAATGCTTGTTGAATTATATTGTATGCAGAAGGTATTATCTCCTCTTCACTATGCTATGGATTTTTTTTTCTTACACTTAAGGCAATATAGAATGAAGTTTGAGGTCAAGAATTGGCAAGGGAATAGGATAGGGCGGGAAATGGGAGCAGGTTACTGAGAAAGGGGAAAGTTTCCTTCTTCCTTCGTGTTGTTTTTTTTTTCTTATTACACCCATGGCAATAATTGAAAGTTAATCATGGAAACTACTGACCTTCACATGAGGAAAAAGCAGCCTCTGGAGGAGAATGACCTCAGACCGACAGCTGCTGCCCATTTTTCAACTTGCCAGTTTAGTTTCCCATTGAAGTATTCCATTCCATGTGTTGGTGATGGGGGGGATGCTTTTTAGAAAAAAGGATGGAGGTGGCCACTAGCTACTGAGTTCCAGCTCTTGATAAATGAGTCAGTCTTGCTGGTAAGAGGCCAGTTTTCACTAGATATCTTGGAATGCAGAGACTCCTACTATCCAATGACTCCTTATTCCATCAACTTGGATTTGATATGTGACTTGGAAGACAAAAAAGAGGTCACTTAAGTCCTTTGGGGAGTCACATGGAGCCCATGGATAGCTGGCTGACTACAAGAATGTTTATGGTTAAAGGCATTCAGATTAATACAATTAAAACATGCCTTATAATATTTAAATAGGAAATTTGGATGGATTTGAAGCAAACCAGGATGGATAAAGAATGTTTGATTAGAGCGCCTTGGGATATTTGTTTGCCCAATGTGCTTCTGTGTTCTAAGGTCAGGAAGAGTTACAAGTTTTGTATTAGTCATATATTAAAAGGAGAACCTCTTAGGTGGAAAATAATGAATTTAGAGACCCTTCAAACCAAGCTTATCACAAGCAAGTTCAATTAGGTAAACTTCATTTTGTGGGTAGACTTATGAAATCACAAATTTCTCAATCTTTTAAGATTAAGAACTGGAGAATTATGAAAATTCTCACACATACTGAACATATGAAGTAAGTTCCTAGCTAAAGCCAATGAAAACATACAATATGTGTTGGTGATAGGCAAAAATTCTAAGGATTTAAGGCAAAAAAAAACTGAACAGAAATTAAATGGGTAAGTAAAGCTGAGAATGCTAGACTGGCCAGTCTTTTTTTTTTCCAACCAAATGTTTCTCCCCCTTTTCCAATAATAATTTGTGATTTGATCTGTGACTATTTCCCTAGAAAATCACATTGTGTTCATCTCTCATCTTGTACAAGAAGCTTTTTTCCAATTCCTCTTAATTCTAGTGACTTTTCTCTTTTAATGATTTCATATTTTTCCTGTATATAGCTTGTTTGTGCATATTTGTTTGCATGTTGTCTTCCCATTTAATTGTAAACAGAGACTGTCTTTTTCCTCTTCTTAAATCCCCAGTGCTCAGCACAGTGCCTGGCATAGAGTAGGTGTTTAATAAATGTTTATTGACCAATTGACTAACAGAATTTTGTCTCTGAGCCTTAGCTAACTAGATCTCCTTTATAAGTGCCAAATGAAGGCAGAGAGAACAATTTCTAAGGCCTCTGAGCCTTAGCTAACTAGATCTCCTTTATAAGTGCCAAAATGAAGGCAGAGAGAACAATTTCTAAGGCTAAAATAACGTGAAAGAATTACTTAGGAGGCGGAGCCAAGATGGCAGAGAAAAACCAGAAAGTTGCCTGAGCTCTTCCCAGTCTCCCTTGGAGACAATGTTAAATCAAACCTCTAAATGGATTCTGGAATGACAGAACCTACAAAAAGATATGGAGTGAAACAATTTTCCAGCTTAATATAACTTAGAAGGATTTCAGGAAAGGTCTGTCTCACTTATCTCAAAGGGGAGCACAGCCCAGCACTGATGGTGTCGGGCAAGACAATGGGAGGCTCTTAGCCATAGCACACATCAGCAACTGAGGCCCCTTGATTCTGGCTCAGCAGGCCAGTGGTATAGTAGGCCAGCTGTGAGGCCTCCAGCACAAGTGAAGAAGGCAAACTGCCAGCCCCAGAACCCCAGCACAACAGGTGCGACTAGGCTGGGCCACCCCAGTGTAGTGGGCAAGCCACCAGCACCTGCTGCAGAAAGCCAGTGACCAGGACCCAAGCACCCAGCACAAGAAGCTTGGGACAGTGCCCCCTGTGCCCAAGGAGCAGAGCTCAGCTTTAAAAGTCACTAAATAGACTTAAAAATGAGCAAAAAATAGAAAAGAGCCCTGACCATAGAAAGCCACTTTGGTGACAGAGAAAATCAAAATATGAACTCAGAAGAGTACAACAATGTCAAAATATCTACATGTGAAGTCTCAAAGGGGAATATGAATTGGTCTCAAGCCCCAAAAGCCTTCTTGGAAGAACTCAAAAAGGATCTTAAAAATAAATAAGAAAAGTAGAAGAAAAATTGGGGAAAGAAGTGAGAGTTATGCAAGGGAGAGTCATCAGCTTGGAAAAGGAAGGGGAAAAAATTGAAGAAAACAATTCCTTAAAAAATAGAATTGGCCAAATGGAAAAAAAAATCCAGTGAAGAGAACAACTCCTTAAAAAGTAGAATTGGCCAAATGGAAAAGAAAGTACAAAAGCAAACTGAAGAAAATCCTTAAATATTAGAATATGGCAAGTGGAAGCATTCAAATGACTCTTATGAAACATCAAGAATCAGTCAAACAAAATCAAAAGAATAAAAAAAAATAGAAGAAAATGTAAAATATCTCATTAGAAAACAACTGACCTGGCAAATAGATCCAGGAAAGATAATTTAAGAATTATTGGATTACCTGAAAGCCATGATAAAAAAAAAAAAAGAGCCTCAACAGCATCTTTTAAGAAATTATCAAGGAAAACTGCCCTGGTATCCTAGAACCAGAGGGTAAAATAGTCTTTGAGAGAATCTACCGATTACCTCCTGAAAGAGATCCCCAAATGAAAACTCCAAAGAATATTTTTGCCAGATTCCATAATTGTTAGGTCAAGTAGAAAATATTGTAAGCAGCCAGAAAGAATTATTTTAATTTTTGCCTTATTGAGTAAGATAGAGAAACAGAGAGACAGACAGACAGATACACACACACACACACACACACATACACATATACATATACATATACTTTTGTGACTTTGAAGGCCAAAC